TATATATATCTCAATTGGGAATTCCACTTCGTAGTTTAGTTTTATCTAAAGAGTATCACTTGAGTTCTTTTTACTACCTGAACTCAGGTGAAGAGTAGCATGGTGGAGTATCTCGATTCTCACCTCCACTCCGATGAGCCCTTGGGAGGTCGGTCTGTTTTCTCAATGGCATTTGGGTTTTCCTGAGATCCCCCATAGACTGGATTTCCTTGTCAATGATATTCTTTTTCGAACCTTCAAAAATCAATGCTTACCGTCTTCTTTGATGATTTCTTACGTTCAGGTTCAGACGGTAACTTTAATTCCAGGAGATGGCATCGGCCCCGAAATTTCAGCTGCAGTTATGAAGATTTTTGACGCTGCCAAAGTACGTGGGCTTGACACACACCTTCGACGATAACTCGTAGGAACGTTTTCTCGCCCGTCCGAGTCTGTGAACTCTTAGGGTGACCTGCGCACGTTCGCATGGGGTCGGAAAGGCCTGTGCTTAATCCTCACAGTCTTGAACAGTGGTGTCCCCTGCTGTCGACTGGCAATGGTGTCCGCCACCGCACTGCCGTCAGTCTCGAGGAAAGCAGTGCCACAGCATTCGTGGGTTTGGGGCCTCCCAGACCTGCTCAGTCACCTCTCTGCCTCGCTCTGCCTTCTGCCGAAGAGGAGAATACAACTGATATTTCAAAATACTGTATAGGCGATGCTGAAAGATTTTTTTTTTTTAAGTTTCTGATGTGGTATTATCATTCCAACGGCCTAGCCCTCGATGCATGTAGATATTTTTAAATCCTCTTGACTTGGGAATTTCGGAGACTTAGACTTTGTTTGATCTGATGCTTTATTATCGCTATTTATAGCTGCCAGGTGATATAACGCGTAAGATTAAATCGGGTTGTTATGGCGCTGACAGGTATAGGTCGAAGAACAAAACTTATTTATCTAAACTATACGTAGATTGTTTTTCCTACGTGAGTTTCTTATGGAAACTCCTGCAGAAGAAATGACGGGATCCGGTCGCTCCTGAGCCGTGAGCACCCTGGGGACGAGGACCACGTCAACCTGCCCTGTTCCTAGTGCACGTTCAGCGTGCCGGCTGCCACGTGGGTGGACAGAAAGGATGACACGGTGGTTTATTCACATTCACATTCTATACAACTCACCCGTTTAAAACGCACCGCTCAATAGTTTTTGTACATTCACAGAGCTGTGCAGCTGTCACCATGGTCTAATTTTAGAGTGTTTTCATCACCCAGAAGAAACCTCATACTCATCGGCAGTCCCTCCCTGTTCCCCCTGCGGCTCTCGCCCCGCCCCACACCAGCCCCAGGGACCCCCCCGACCTGCTCCCTGCCCCGTAGGTCTGCCCGCTCCGGGCGTTTCACATGAAGTCTCATGATGTGCGGTCCTCTATGGCCGGTTCCTTTTGCTTAGCGCGATGCCTTCATCCGTGAGTCGCGCTATGGAAGGTTCCTGGGAGCTCCATTTCCCCTCCCGATGATGCCCTAATTATAGCCTTGTTAAGAGCTGTGATGAAAGGAGTGGGCAGGTGGAAGCTAGGAGTCTGAGCAGACAGGGACTGGGCACGCTAGACAACGACACCTGCTGGGCGCCAGTCACGTTCGGGCTTTGCAGCTCACTGTGCTCTGGTGTGGCATCTAGGCGCCCATCCAGTGGGAGGAGCGGAACGTCACCGCCATTCAAGGGCCCGGAGGGAAGTGGATGATCCCTGCAGAGGCCAAGGAGTCCATGGACAAGAACAAGATGGGCCTCAAAGGTACTCTGAAGTGGCCGTGACGGCACCGCGGGTCTCCACTGCCAGTGCTAGACTTTTGAAAGTTATGCATTTAAGCTGAATAAGGCCAGCCTTCTACGGAGCAGCTCACCCATAGTGAGATGCTTTGTTTTTCGTGTGGGGACGTATTTTCCCCAGTGAAAACATTCAGTATTATTGGCCAATGTCGAATGAAAGTTCATAGCTATCTTCATCTAGATTTATCTTTTGCATAATTTTTACATTTTATTGGAATCAGTACATACTTAAGGTCACGGTTCAGAATAGTGGCGTGTGACAGGTTTAGATTCTTGCCCTCTTCCTTGCCCTCTGCTGGCCGGGCAGCCAGCCACGACGGGCTGGTTCACCGTGCGGAGAGCATCAGACTCAGAAACAGCACCTGTCTGTCCTTTCAGGTGACTCCTGCCCTGCGGCGCAGGTGTCCCTGGGTCGTGAGGCACACGCGTTAGGTCACACCGCCACCTCACGCCCAGGGAAAGGGCCCTGGCACAGCTCTGATGGAGAAATGAGAGAGAATTTTCTAGTCAACACCGTGTGCTCGTGTTTACGGGAGGGGGGCCTCCTGCCATCTGTGTGATCTTCTTTATTACAGGCCCTTTAAAGACCCCAATAGCGGCTGGCCACCCATCCATGAATTTGTTGCTGCGTAAAACGTTCGACCTCTATGCAAATGTCCGGCCGTGTGTCTCGATCGAAGGCTATAAGACCCCTTACCACGACGTGGATATTGTCACCATCCGAGAGAACACGGAAGGGGAGTACAGTGGGATCGAGCACGTGGTATGTGCGTTCGGATCCGCTTTGTCCTTGGTCGGGCTGCTTCCTGTGCACTGGGCAGGCTTTTGGGTTCCCAGCTGGACACACCCCCAGAGGCGGTGCGCCTGGGCCTCTGTGAGGCGTGCGCGTCCGTCCCGGTCCCGGGTGTCCGGCCCGTGGTGCTCACGGGATGCGGGAGGAATGGGGCCTGGGCCTGGGGACACGCCCTTCGCTTGAACGTGGAAGCCGCGGTCACAGGCGCGTTCCATCGTGTGGCTCAGATTTCCTCGTCTGTGTGGTGGGCGTCCAGCACCTGCCTCATAGGGCTGGGCCAGCAGGAACCCCACTGACTCGCGCGCGCCACCGGCGCCGCCGTCCGGGGCCCACCCGTGGGCACGGCCTTTGCAGGGGGTGGGACCGCCTGTCTTCCAGATCGTGGACGGGGTCGTGCAGAGCATCAAGCTCATCACCGAGGAGGCGAGCAGGCGCATCGCCGAGTTCGCCTTCGAGTACGCCCGGAACAACCACCGGAGCAACGTCACCGCCGTGCACAAAGCCAACATCATGTGAGTCCCTGCGGGGCGACGGCAGGCTTTCCTTCCGCGCTCCGGCCTGCCCCCCGATTCCGGTGTCTAAAAGACACCGGGTCAGGTGCACCCGTCTTCGCGACGTCCCGCGTAACGGGCCTCGCCGCTCTGAGGGGCGCAGCTGGGGGTTCTGGTCCTGGGAGGCGGGACGGGCCCAGAAGGTCAGAGAAGGGAGCTGTGGGCCCCGGAGCCCCCGACTGGCCGGGCAGCCTTCTGAGTGGAATGGTGGGCGTGCTGGGGCGCTGCCACCACGGGGAACCTAGCGCTTTAGAGCCTCGTGGCCAGTCTGCTCAAGGCCATCCCCGAATGTCTAAAGAAACGGCTATCCTCGCCTAGGAAAAGCGCTGGACACGTAAAGTAGTAAAACCATTTATATAACTCAGTGAGTTAGCCTTTTAAAGCGACTTTGCCGTTTTCTTACTAATAGGTTATTTGGTAATTATTGCTGGATAACATGGCTGCCTAAAAAAACAATTTCGCTCTAATTGAAATCAGATACTCTGGCTTCTAGAACCGAAATTTCTTGAATTTACTTCTCCAATGCTTTTCTTTCTGCAAGTTTTTGCTTTCAACGATTTTTATTTGATTAAATACAGGCGGATGTCAGATGGGCTTTTTCTGCAAAAATGCAGGGAAGTTGCAGAAAACTGTAAAGACATTAAATTTAACGAGATGTACCTGGATACGGTGTGTTTGAACGTAAGTGTCGCCCCCGGCCGCCGGCTCCTTTCGGGCTGCGTGCCGTGTCCCTGCGCCCCTGACTGAACGCACGGACGCGTTTCTTGTAGATGGTCCAGGACCCGTCCCAGTTCGACGTGCTCGTTATGCCGAACTTGTATGGCGACATCCTGAGGTGAGGAATCTATACGTGTCTGAAAATAAATTGCAGTTTAAAAATCTCCGTCAAGGATTATAAAATAGCACGTGCTGTGAGGTATGAGTTCTCGCCGTTGAGGTGGCTGCAGTAGTCACCTGTGGGTGGGCCATTCCCTCATTTCTGTGTCCTGTCAGCTCTGGGCTATTGATCCCCGGTCGTTAGTTCCTTCGGATTTTTCAGATGTTGTACCGGTTGGTTGGGTAATTGAGTTCCTATGGCTAGGAAGGTGGGTGTTCGTTTTTTACAGACATTTTGGTAACCTTTGACATAATTTCAGACTAACAGAAAAGTAACATTTTCCCACACTCATCGTATTAGTCCCTCTCTCCTTTTTTCTACGCCCACACACACACAGACGACATTGGCCACACGGTGATTTTCCGAGTTCACTGTCTCTTCTGCATTCGTTAGTTGGCGTTCTGTAAGGACAAGCATTTTCTTGTCTCGTGTGTATCTGTTGTTCATTTGTACCCATTAGGACTCACAGTTTCCCTTTTATGCAGTGGTTATGTCTGTCACTATCATTCATATGATGCTCTGGTTGTCAGCCGGGGGGCGTCCCTGGGAGCCGTCATCAGCTTTCTGGCACAGTCCGATGCTCCAGGCTCATCCCGTATCTTCCAGTGTCTCCAAGGAGCACTGGTCCCTTTTTCTGGACGATGGTGTTTTACAGCTAAAGTCTGCGAGCTGGGTGACATGTTCTTTTTCAACCCAACACCCCTGACGTGCTTTCTGCCCCCAGTGACCTGTGTGCGGGACTGATTGGAGGTCTCGGCGTGACACCGAGCGGCAACATTGGCGCCAACGGGGTCGCGATCTTCGAGTCGGTGAGGTCCCTGCTGACGCCCGAGGCAGAATTTAAGTCAGGGAGGCCTGAGGACTGGGG